GAGCTGCCGGCCCCGTCCTCCGGGCAGAAGAACGATATCACGGCGTGGCAGGAGTGTGTGAACAACTCGATGGCGCAGCTGGAGCACCAGGCGGTCCGCATCGAGAACCTGGAGTTGATGTCGCAGCATGGCTGTAACGCTTGGAAGGTCTACAACGAGTAAGGCCTCATCTGCTTTCCTGAACCCAGCTGAAGTTCTGGCTTCGCTTCCTGTGTGTTTCTCGTGTTTCCCCGTGTAAGTCCAGTGGGGATCTTTGGCACATGCCCAGGAATAACTGAGCCCCTTTGAGAGAGCTCTACGTGGAAGAAAAGAAGGCTGATCTCAGAGTAGGAGCTGCCTCTGTGGCCAAGAAAGAGCCTGTGTTTCAGTACACCCTAATCCTGAATTTTGTGAGTTATTGTTTGGGTAGCAGTTGGTGCTCATGGGCTTTAATCAAGAATAATTACCAGGACTTATGACAGCCTGTGAAATGACAATTCAGTAGTGGAAGTGAAGATTACTTTCTGCTGATCCTGCTCAGCCTGGAGCCATTATTAATAAAGCTGTTGCAAAAGCAAAAAAAAAAAAGAAAGCTGTAGACAGTATGGCTGCAGGAAGCATCGGGGCTATTTTGGGCAGAGAATGTTAATGTCCACTTTAGCTTGGCCTAAGATAAAGCTGTAGAGAAAAGGAATGGGAAATGTAACCCTTTGCCTTCTCTCAGAGGTGCTTAGCTTAGGAAAAGGGAGGCAGATAGAGGAGCTATTAGCTCACACGTGTCAGGAAGTGAAAAGAATGTTTGTGCTCTGACAGTGTTACAGGAGGGTAATGATAATAACAATCAGTTACAGGTAATTTAGCATTAAATTAGAGGATGAGTGATGAGGTAGGGAGATGTTACAATAGCATTCCAGTCAGAATAGCACAAGTGTACAGTAACAAGCTTGAAGATAAAACTTGGTCAGCTAATGGATATGATTTCATGACACTTGTCTGATGGCAAGGACTGACCGTAATGATTATTGAGGGTTTATGTCTTAAAACTGCCTGTGTGACAGCTGCAGTGCTTTGGTGCTGTGTCATTCCCCTCAGCAGTGAAGAGCACAGCCTGCACTGAGAACAACGTGTCTGGTGTTTGCCTTGAAGTGGCTTGTTGCGTCCTTAACTTCCCAGAGTTAACTGGCAGGTTAAGTGGCTCTGATCTAGCAGTTGTATGTTTTCCTAATGCTCTGTTTGCATTCTGTTATTAGACACCTGGTTCATATGATAGAACAAGCCCAGAAAGAGCTTCAGAAGTTCAGGTGAGTCATTCTTTTTCATATTTTCATATTAAAGTGGGAAGGCGAGTGCACACCTCTTCCTCCACCCCCAAGCTATACAAAAGCTTCTGTATATGCTGCTGCCACAGTTGTAGGAAAAAGGACCCAATAACAACAATAATTAAGAAATCCGGCCCTGCCCTCCCCGAGTGGTTCATTCAGGATGCCTGTCCCACTGACCTCTGACTGTGTCTTGTTCTGTTTTGTTTTGTCTGAGCCTCTGCTTTGAACAGAATGGGTTGTGGTGGGATCCTCTCTGAAGTGCAGTCCTGTTTTCTTTTCACTGCTGGTAGATGTTTATGCATCGTGCAGTTGTCTCAGGGAAGACCTGTTCCCTGATGTTAGGTTTGGCCTCTAATTTTACAGTGGCGGATGCTTTAATGAGCTTACAGAGATGGATTACTTGGGGATGGAGGTTGTAGGATATTGGAATTATGCACCTTTATAAGTGACTCTATTCAGACAGCGTGCTGTGGACCTGGCAAGTAAAGCTTTTCACATTTAGGTGAACTGTTGTCATGTTCAGCCTCAAGATGAGACTGTATACTGGGAGGTGGGTAGAAGGCAAGTTGATATCTGTGATCAGTACCTGTGTGTTTAGATTAGCTGGAATTATTGTCTTGGACAGAATCAGCATGGGAAAGGGTAGAAGCAGAACTCGAGTTGGGAAGGGTACAGGAACACCATGCTGGGTGGCAAGGGGGCTATCGGGGTACAAGTGTTAGCAGTGTCAACCTGAGAGAGCTACTTAGAGAGCAAAGTCTTTGCAGTATTCTGCATTTCCTGGGTGCTTCACTGAACCACTGAATTTTGTGAATGATTAGCTGTTCATCTTTGGTTTTCTGACTTTTTTTAAGAGAGAACAAAACATTTTCTGTGTTCTACACTTGTCCAGGAGCAGTAGGCTTGAATGTTTGAAGTTTTACTTGTAGTAGAGTGGAAGTTTTTTGTGTGTTTTTGTGGAGTAGATTTTTGTGTGTGTGTGTTTATTTATTTATCTATCTCAGGGTTCTGTGTGCAGCCCTGTACTGGGATTTGTACACCTCTATTTTGTAGTTGTGGTCCTGGCTACACCAGTGTTTTGGTAGTACTTCTAGGGTTTAGGTGTATTTTGAAACTAGCAGCAGGTATTACAAATTTTAAAGAACTGATAGAACCAAAAAATACATAGATCTTTTTCTTCCCAGGAAAAACATTCAGGATCTGAACTGGCAACGAAAGAACATGCAGCTGACAGCTGGGGCTAAGCTACGAGAAATGGAATCTACGTGAGTGTCTAGAATTTTCCTGTCAGATCTTCCACAAGTATATCTTTTGCTTGAAGTTCTTCCAGGCAGAGCACCACTGATCTTTCGGTGCTGTTGTGGGATGTTACCACATCGGTACTGTTGCTTTGCACAAAATGTTTTAAAGGATTTCTAATTCAGTTACTGTGGTTGAGTGAATCAGTGAGCAAGGGATGTGAAAAGGAGGGTGTATTAGCTGCTTGAAATTGCCTTGTCTACATTGTTTGTTAAACTTTATCTAAATACTGGAAGTTAGTGGATTTGAGTCTAGTAAATTAATTTTTGTATGTTAAAGTTAAACAGCATTATAAACGATTTTCTATCACTTTGGTTGTTCAAATTACCATTGATATCACCTGAGGTTTGCCATGTACAGAGAAAAATTCTGCTTTATTTGGTGTCTTTGTGCTTTCTTTGGAGCAATAATTGTCCTTAATTTTAAAACAGAGGACTGTTAAATAACACTTAAATGCTTTTTTAATTTCTTTTCCCTTCCAGATGGGTCTCTCTTGTCAGTAAAAATTATGAGATTGAACGAACTATTGTGCAGCTAGAAAATGAAATTTCGCAAATCAAACAGCAGCATGGGGAAGCAAACAAGGAGAATATCCAGCAAGACTTCCAGTGACTTAATTCTTACTGTCTTATTGCAGCATACATTAAAAAAACCAAACCACAAAACAAAAAACTTTGGAGATGCTATGTGTTTGTAGACACCTCTAGTTGCAGTTGTATAGGGTGATAAAAAGGCATTTTGATTCTTTTCCTTGTTTTAAATTCTCTGAGGAGGAAGAAGAGACTCAGATGTTGTGTTCAAATGTATTATGGGCACAGTGATATGTACTGTGAATCGCTTCACTTTTTATATACCTGAAGGTAGGAGCTCTTAAAAAAAAAATCCTGTTTCATGTTTTTGCATTTTCCTCTATGCCACGAATAAATGTTGTTTTGCTATTTGTATGGCTTCTGATTTTTCTGCGTCCTCATGCCTACATCTCCTCCGGCTTGTTCTGCTCCTCCAGAGGTTCCATTGTCACTAGACGTCACAGTGTGAGAAATGTTAATGTTGTCTTTGCAACTTGGAGGGCTCAGCTCCTCCAACACAAAGATAACTTGGCAGGAACCAAGTAAGACATCTGTGGCTGGAGATGAGGATGTGCTCCCGAGTAACTGCCCAGCATCTTATTATACAAAGGAGGGAAAAGACCAAACAAACCAATAAAAAGGGGGCGGGAGATTAAAATAGAGTGGTGGGAAATTTA